TAAGTGTGATCAACTTTGCAGAGGGTTTCCACTTTCGGGTCAAAGCATTGAGAGAGGTGGGGGACATTGCAGTGATGTGTCATTTTCGGGTCAGAACATGGATAAGCGTGATCAGCTTTGCAGTGATATGTCATTTTCGGGTCAGAACATGGATAATTGTGATCAACTTTGCAGAGGGTTTCCACTTTCGGGTCAAAGCATTGAGAGATGTGAGGGACATTGCAGTGATGTGTCATTTTCGGGTCAGAACATGATTAAGCGTCATCAACTTTGCAGTGATATGTCATTTTCGGGTCAGAACATTGATAAGTGTGATCAACTTTGCAGAGGGTGTCCACTTTCGGGTCAAAACATTGAGAGAGGTGGGGGGCATTGCAGTGATGTGTCATTTTCGGGTCAGAACATGATTAAGCGTGATCAACTTTGCAGTGATATGTCATTTTCGGGTCAGAACATTGATAAGCGTGATCAACTTTGCAGAGGGTGTCCACTTTCGGGTCAAATCATTGAGGTGGGAGACATTGCAGTGATGTGTCATTTTCGGGTCATTGCAGTGATATGTCATTTCGGGTTAAACCATGGAGAGAGGAGAGAGTCTTTCACTATAAAAGAAGATATCATATTGTAGTGAATACACCCCCAACATTTTTATTCTCTACACTAAAGCTTTAGCACAACTAACTTCTTGTAAGAATGTCGATCCGTTCATCTTCCTATAACCATGATGAAGATGTTCTTTTATGTCAAGTTTATATGGATATTTTTCAGGACCCAATTATTGGGGTATACCAATCATCTAATCGATTTTGGTCTCGTGTTGAAAATGCTTTCAATGAAGGACGGCTTGAGCATTGGGAGGTTCGTACCAAGAGATCTCTGCAAGCACGAATTCAAACAATCGAAAAAGCAGCCAAAAGACTCCATGCATGCATTAAAGCAGTAAAAGATATGCATCAGAGTGGTGCATCAAATGAAGATACAGTGAGTACTAAAATCTGATTGTATTTTTTATTTATTAAATTTATTATTTATATTAGCTATGGTTAATTGTATGAAAATTGTAGATGCTCAGAGCAAGTGTTGTTCAAAGAAGATTCCAAATTCAAATCCGGATGGAAATACGATCATGTTTGGGATATTATTAAAAACTTCGAAAAATTTAAAGATGGAGCTTCGAGGAGCAAGAAAAAACAGTCTGGTTGTTATCCATCTTCGGAGTCAGAAAATCCAACGCCCGAGTCTGCCCGACAAGAATCCGCATGTATTTCTTCATTTTCTATAAATTTAAGCGACTCGGATCAAATTGCTACTGGTTCTCCATCTGAAAGACCTATCGGGGTCAAGAAAGTCAAACTAAAAAGAAAGGTAAATGATGATTCATCATCGCTCATCAATGCGATGAAATAAGCAAACAAAAGACTTGTTGAGGAGATGAAAAATGCAAATGACCAAATAAAACATCAAATGGAGATGCATAATAGATCCCTCGCTTTAAAAGAAATGAGGGAAGAAAATAAAATTCTGTTTCAAGATGTCAGTTCCATTGAAGATCCTAGAGTTCGAGCATACATTGAAGCTCAAAAGGCACGAATCTTGGAGAAAAGAGCTCAACAAGCCCAACCGGATCCATATCCGCCTAATGCATTTGGCCAATTTTTCAATGATCTTGGAGGAAGCGGTGCCAACTTGCCAGATTACTAAGTATTCGTGTTTGTTTTCAGTTGTTGGGTTTATGAAGTATTTTTATTTTAGTACTGTGTGATGTTGTAATTTTATTTCAGCACTAGTTATTGAAATATTTTTCCTTAAACCCTGATCTATCATGTACTAATGGTATTGCTATTTGTATTAGTAATGTTGTTGTTAAACATAATATTTATTATTTTAAAAATTGTACTATTTAATTTTTATGAAATCAATTTTTTTTTACTATTTTACATTATTATTGTGAAAAAATATAAAATTAATATGTATATTTACACTATTATTGTGAACAAATTTAAAATAATATGTTATTCATTATTTTAATGAAATTAAAAAAAGGGAGAATAATATGTTATTCATTATTTTAATAAAATTAAAAAAAAAATAAAATTTTAGTATGTTTTAAATTATCTTTCCAATTCATATTATCTTAGCATTCTAAATCACATAAATAATATGTATATTTTACCTTATTATTGTGAAATATATAAAATTAAATGATAAATATAATATTTATTATTTTAAATATTTACTATGTAATTTTTATGAAATTATTTCTATTACTATTTTATATTAATAACCAAATCAATATTAGGTGTTATTAATTATCTTTTGTTTGTTAATAGTTGTACCAATTTGTAATTAAAATAAAAAAAAGGGTTGAGATTATAATTTAAAAAGTGCAAACGCAAAAAATTGCGATCAAACGCAAATTTGCAGTACCAAGAGGAGAGAGAATGTTGTAAACGCAATTTAGGTATGCGTTTCAGAATCGGTTGGAGAGATTTTGAGGATTTTTTGGGTCGCATTTTGCGTTTTCCGTCTCGGTTGGAGACAGTCTTAGGTTTGAAAACAGTTGATTTTGACTGAATTAAGAAAAGAAAAAAAGAAAAATAGTTGTTTCTCAATTCTCGGTTTCGTTTATGCTTTCGCTAAGTCACGTACACATTCATTTCTATAATGAAATCCAAATTATTTATTGCTATAATAAAATGTAATAGTAAAATTATTTCACACTGTTTTTGGTAGTTACTTTTTTCTTACAATGGAACAATATAAGAGGGATTCATTGTACAAATCAATCTTGGATTTAATTTGTGAATATTTACTTGAGACATACTACCTCATATTCTTTTTAAATTTCATTTTGACATTATCAACTATTAACAAAATAAATATCGTTTTGGATATTTTGTACATATTTTTCCATTATTACCCTCACCTAGCTAATAAATACATTGTGTCTTTTCATATTCATTTCTTCATATTTTTTCAAAACATTCATCTCTATTCTCATTAATGAGGGTTATTATTAACAAAAAATATTCTTAGTAATTGTGTAACTTCTCAAAACGACACTTATTATGAATAGCAGAGAGTAAATAATAAAATGTCATAATAGTATTCTTTCACACTATTCAATGTACTCTAGGATTTTGTGAATATTTACTTTTAGACATATAGATGGACAGATTCATGATCATGAAAAAGGTTTAAGGTTTTATTACTTGGACTCAATTCATTGTACAATTTCGAAAATATTTTAAGTAGTTTTTTTTTGGGAACTATAATGATCCAAAACTAACTTAGAAAGTATAAATTAACTAATTGTATGCCTACATAAGTCCTTTGTTGGAAAAAAAGAAAATGACCGTAGTTAAATACTACCTCTTATTTTTAATATATGTCGTTTTGAAAAGTTGCACATTAATTAAGAATATTTTTCATTTTAATAATAACCTTATTTAATGAAGATATAAATGAATGTTTTAAGAAAAAGTGAATATGAAAAGACGTAATGTATTTATTAGCTTAAATGAGGGTAATAATGAAAAAATATGTACAAAATATGTATAACAGAACGACATATATTTAGTTAATAGTTGAATAAACTAGAATGACATTTATAAAAAATAGGAGGGAGCATTTTTTGCCAAATATGTAGTAGAAAATATCAAAATAACGAACAAATAGAACACTTTATGTAAAGAGTCAATTTATGCTTATTATTTCAAGCAATACAGTTTTTTGTATGTGAACTGAACTCATCCATATGAAGAATTGAAAACCTGAATTACTAATACTCATCCTCAGTTAAAGACCATTTTGCCCTTTACAGTTTTTTTTTTTTTTTTTAATGAATTCTCTCTCTTCTCTCCACAAACCCACAATTTTATGGCACGTCTTTTTTTTTTTTTTATATAGAGATTTAAAAAAAAAAAAAATTAAATGGTGACCACCCCAGGTGTCTGAACAGTCGCCCCCGGTTACCTGAATCACAAAAATTCATTGCTATCTTATGTGGCGGCCGACGGCCGCGCTGACAATAACTGGCCGCCGATCGCGGTAGGAAATGGACCGGCTGTCACCATGCTCGACGAATGGCCAATTGGAAGCCGAAAATCGTCATTGGCTAGACGCCACTCCACCGGCTGAGTTCGTGATTAATTCAAAGTCCTTTATGAAATGAATCATTTCACTAATATGTTGTACCATAATAAAATGAACTACACATAACCCAAAATTGTGTTTACTGTGCATGTTGCTAGGAATTAATTGAACAAACATTGGTAACCATATAAACCAAAATAAATCTCGCGTAACTTATTGGCCCAAGTAAAATCAGGTCGAAAAATGTGCAGATCTTTTTATTTAGGTTACGCAAAAATATATATTACCATATAACCAACATACCAATTTATTTGTTCAGTATTAAAAAATGCATCATTGTTAAATATCACAATTTGGCCGATTTTATATAAACAAATTACCATTTTTTTTTTTTAGGTACAAGGACCTTCCAGTTTCCGAATCCACAGGAGAACCGACTAATTCGGAATCGATCCGGATAGGAGCACAAGGGCGGCAAAGCTCTCCCTCAAGAGTTTTAACGCTGCTGCATTCCCAAGGCGAACACGAGACCACTGGTTAAACTGGAAGAGACCCAAGCCATAAACCAAAGGCAGACTGATTGTTTTCGAAAGAATCGAAGAGCATTAGGTAAAAAAATTGTCCGAATCAATTTTTTTATGAAAAAATCTTTATGAATTTATGGAGATGATGGTTTGTCTAAAAGAAAAACGAAAAATATCTTGTACAAATAGGTGTTTCGTAACATGTAATTTTTCTTATTCTAAGTTGATCTTAATATTTTGTATTCACGTAAATAATAAAAATAGCCTAAAAATTGTTCACCCCATACTTTCGAACGTATTCATACTTGTATTTAAATATGAAACTATGCATATTTAATATATTCACATGGATTACGTATTAGTTTTTAAATACAAAATTGTGCATACTTAATACATATGGCGATGTGAGGCAATCACATCTAATATGGACCCCAAATGGGTTATATAACCATGTTTTGAATATTTGCTCGACCTATAAATTATTATACTGAAATATTAATTGTCCCAAGACTTATCAACCGGATCACGATTTTGCTATGAAGGCAACGATTGACTCTATAGTGAAACAAACCTTCTATATACAACAAGCAAACTTATCATATTGTATATAGAAAGTTAGCTCAACTATAGATTCAACCGTTGGCTTCATAGCAAAATCGGATCAAAGTAGTGTACTCGAATGTGAGTAGACTCCAGAATCTTCTGTTTCATATAAACGACAAATTATAATTGATTCAAATTGACGTGTTATGTTCCTTTGTCTATATTAGCTGAGCTGATCCACTTACGTGGCAAAAAGTGATTGGATGAGCATGAAACCTGGGATCAGACGCACACCCACTCACTTACCTAACTTCAATAATTGAAGTTTGTGATGTTGATAATAATAATAATTAAATAATAATCCCAAAGAAAGCCCATCCACCGTCCACACACACACTTTGCCAATTAGCTTTAAAAAAATAAAATAAATTGAAATGTTAAATCAAATTTTAGACTAAAATTCAATTTTAAAGCCAAATGTGAAAAGTGACTCAAGTTCACAAGATTTCAAAATTCACACTTGAACTTGTAAGATCAGTAAAAAAAGATAGAAGTTTGACATGCAACCACTGCAGTAATTTGGAGTTACTAGAACCGAGCATGGAATCGACAAGCAAAGAAATAGCTAAATAAGAAATCAAGCTACGACACGATTCACCCTATCCTCTCAATAGTACGGCTCGTTGTCCCCATCAGAATAAGACTCATCTTCAAAGTATTCATCAACATCGTTCGTCCAGTCATACGATTCATCATTCTCAAACGACACTTGGGTTTCATTTTCAGAATCTTGGGAATTGGTCCCAGAAGTTCGACTCTCGTTTTCTGATTTCTCGTCAGATGAACTGCTAGTGACTTCGTCCTCATCCTCCTCTGTTGTCTCCTCATCGGGATAATCGTTCAGGGGATTGTTTTCCGCTGAAATTCCAAGCCATTACATTCCCTAAGAAGGTGCTAAAAATGGGTTTCCCAAGTATGGGCCAAAGAGTGGGCTAAGCCCACTGCTCACACTTGAATAATATTTCAGTCAATTATTGAAATATCGTGAGAGAGAGAGAGAGAGAGAGAGATTACCATTAGAATCATCAGTTTCATATTCCGAATCATCTGGACCATCGTAGAACTCATCGTCATCGTCAACTCGAACCCTGATCAACCAATTGATGATAAGTAAACAAAAATATAAATAGAATATTTACAATAAGGACCTCATAGAGAGTTAATGACAAGAAGACTTACAAAGGAAATGGGTTAACAGAATCAGCCTCCATCAAATCTGCATCCTCATTGACGGCATAGAAATCGTATACATAACCATCGGATGATCCTGCATTTTCCGACCATCAAAAGCAATCAGAAAACTTGTCATCGAGGATCAATTACAAAAATAAACTGCCAATGAATGAGATGAGATCGTACAAAGAAAAGCTTCAGTTATTTGAAACATTAAACAATTATTTTCAAACTAAATACGGTACAACACACCCAGAACCGAACCACTTAAGTGAAATCACCTCAATTTTCATTATGATAAAGAAAGACACCATGAGTCAGACCTTGTTTGGACATTAAATCATGAATATCAGATTCAATCTCCACAGCAGCAGATGGCAAAAAATCTCTCAGGAGGGGCAAATATTGAGCCATCATCCTGTGGTCGTCCAAATTTGTGTCTCTGGATTAAAAGTTTAAAGAATTTCAGAATTTATTTTAAACCTCAAAGGTAAAATTATAACTAAGA